TATACGAGTATAACAACAATTATTATTATTTTTTGTTTTTATTGTGTTGAAAAACTCAACATATGTTGAACAAGAGGAACAACATAAATTACTTAAACAATAATGAATTTCACTGCAATTACATAGACACCATCATCATCATGTTCATTCCACGAGCGATATTTTTTTTTATATTTTAAATAAAAATATTTTGCATTTTTAGCGTTGATTCAATTCAATACAGAGTACTTAATAAAACATTGCACATTTTTCAAAGTTTAAAAAAAAAAGAAAATATTTCTTATTTCTAACCTTATTTTAATCACATATTTTAATTATTTTAATGTCCTAAAATTTTGCAATGCATGAAATTGCAGATCAAATCGAAAATTTTAATTATTGTAACTTTGTTAATTAATTATTTAACTTTTTTCAAATTGATATTTGCATCCAATTTCAAAATACATCTCCAATATCACCATAATTTCGAAGATTCCAAATTTCGATTGGGAAAATTTTACCAAATTTGTCAACTGATTTCATCAGCTACCAAACTATCAAGTGCCTAAAAACAAAAATTTAAATTAATGAAATTTTCTTTAATAGTTGAATAGTATATTCACTTTATAAGTGAATTAATGAGTGTAATTTTTACAATTTAATAAAATCAGATAAAAATTACATAATTAAATTAAATTAAAAAACAGAGAAAAACTTCATTTTAAAAAATACCAATTTTCGTAAATAATTTTAATTTATAAAAACGTGTGTAATTAATATTTTTTTTATTTTATTAAAATATTTGAATATATGTACTCGTATATTAAAAATATAAACACGAATTAATTTTCCTTAAAACTTCAAAAAGTTTTTGCATACCTATCACTTAAACCTAATTTCGCGATAAAACTGAGTATGTATACAAAATAGCTCATTTTAAAAAATTTGAAGACTTTTGTAATTAAGTCCATATCTACATATCGGTCTGTACATGTTATGATAATTTGTTGCACGTTTCTACAACAAATTATTATAACTTACTAATATAACGCATACTAGATATGCTAGATATGCATTATATTAGTATGTTATAAGTATGTTATAAAACTTTTTTTGATTCAGGAATTAACAATGACAAAAACGGTGGGTTTCCCCATTTCAATAATAAAATTTTTCTATATACCTTGTACTTTTTTATAAAAAAAAAAAAACAAAAAAATATTTTTATTTCAAAAATATTTATAAACATTCATGCCTCTGATCCTCAACCGTGTAATATAAAAAATGTAATGACAAATTTTGTAGTGATTAAAATTAATGCATAATTATTGTGTTTGTTATACACATAAATATATGTTGGCATGTGGATGCCTTTACGTTATTTTAAATTCCAAAATACTATAGGAATCTATGTGATAATCATCCATAATTAGATTAATTAAAAACGAAAGAATTTTTCGAGATGGTTATTACATATAGGACTACATTAATAATTTTAAATTTCTATATTTTTTGGAATATTCGATACACATATTAAATTAAAACTAGAAACAATAAAATTTTTCTTAAATATTAAATTGATAATTTAAAGACGTTTAAAAATGAAATTGAATGACTTAAAAAGAACTTTACAAAACTTAGAGAGCACAAGAATCGTACGTTACGAAGCAAATAACAAATTTATAACGTCTGTAATTGAAATACTTAGATAAAAAAGTAATTTTCGCTTTAGTATCTCTAATATTGCACGAAACCAAAAATATAATCATCTTTTTCTTCTTTTTCATTTTGTATGATTATACTCGTAATATATAAAACGTGAATCTTCATCACAGCAGTTTTTAAAAACAACTTGTTATTAAAAACTTATGCACATGAAACCTTTACATATAAGATACTGACTGCTGCATATATTATTTTGCTACATTTTTAAAATTTTTGTTTTTAATTAAAATTTTCACGTACTTAAGTACACGCATTTGTATATGACCACAAATGTACATTGTGTACATGTTCATATTATATAGAATTTTGATTTGACATAATAATATTTTTCTTCTAACATTGTAATTCTTGCAACTAAAAATAAAAAAAAAATTCATTCATAAAAATTTTCATCAATGACATAATTATATGCTAATTTATGTACATGTACGTATGTATGTACGCACGGCTAGATACATGTAGATTCGTAAATGTTCTATACAAATATGTTCGTCTACGTCTTAGTACTGCAACAGTAAGGTGATATTATAAAATTTTAAAAAGATTAATGTCTGACGATAATAGACAATTAATTTTTAATAAATTTAGTACTGTGCCAATGTTATAATTGCAACAATTAATTTAAAAACTGGAATTTTAAAACTTTAAAATTAGTAAATAGTGATAGATGTATGTATTTTTTACAGATTTCAATTCAAAGGACTTTAAGATTATGATTATTATTTCTTTATGTATACCTATATATGATATTCGAATATAATATTATGTTACGGCACCTTCTTTTTAAAATAAATAGCATCGCAATGCAGTAATAGAATTAATGTGTACTTTATATTAAAAAAATAAAAAATAAAAAATTGCGAACTTTAGATTTAAATCTTTACTATAATTTCAATTCAACTAATTACTGCAGCAATATTTTATTAATCTTACGGTCAGAACGATTTTTGTTTCCATTACAAATTCAAAAAAAATTTAAAATCTAAATATGAAATTATTATTGAACGCCAATTATTTGATTAGATTACCTTAAGCATGAGTTCACACACGTTTTAATTAATAAAAAAAATTACACTCTCATTTTTTCGTAATAATGTTTTGTAATAAAAGCAAATTAAATAGCTGAAATAAATAACACTTTAACTGCATATTTTAAAACTATTCTTAAAATTTTTACATTATTTTATATTTTTAATTTTTTTAAGTGTTTAACTTTAATTTATTTCAGGTCTAACTTGTTGGCAGCATCAAACAATGAATTTTCAGTGAAATTTTTGTAAGAAAAATCGACGAGAAAAAACTAGTGGAGAACGAACTTTTGAAATCATTTCAAAATATCAAAATAAACAATACATATATTTTTACTTATTGAAAATATCTTAAAAATCTTATTTTGCAGCATTTTAATTAATAAATTTGTTTTTAAATTTATCCAAGTTGATTTGTCTTTTTCCGCTTACTGGCGTTTCAATTAATAAAATGCGACAGGAATCAGAAAAAGGCGTATTTACTTGTTCAAAATCAACAAGAAACAAATAAATTTTAAATTTTAAAAATTTATACCAGGGCATTTATATTCAATTTTTATTTGCAGGAAAAGCCGCAAAATACTACAAGTACCTACATACATATGTACCTACCCAAATATCCATAAAGCGTATCGAAGAAAAATTAAAATCTTAAATGCTACAGCATGTTTTTTGGAGTGTTAGTTTCAAATGAAAGATGAAATTTTTCTCGTAAACCTCAAAATTGGCTGCTGCGTATAAGGAAAATAACACCCATTCCTGACTATCTATAATCAAATCTATAAAAATGTTTGAAAAAATTTTATTAATAAAAAATATTATTTATAAAAGAAAACAATAAGATTGCATATAAAATAAATATAAATATAATAATCGTTTAATGCTTGTTAATTTTAAGTTTCTATTTTGAAATTTTAGAAATTTTTTGACCCTTTATTCCATGTGGTTTTGGTACAAATCTTTTTAATAGGCATTTTAAGGTAAAATTTAAATAAACCAAAATTTTAAACATTTGGATACTAAAATAATGTTATAGAAATTCGTACGCCAATGAAGCTAAATATTATTGAGAGTACTCATTATTGAATGGTTCTCCTTACTTAACTAAAATAAAAAGACCAAGTTGAATAGAAGAGCAATAAATTAGAAAAAAGAAATAAATAAATATATGTACATATGTATGTACGTTATAAAAAGCCCTTTTTGAGCTTAATGCATACAACCAATCTAAAAAAAGTGCCCTCCGAGTTATGGTTAATAATCTGTAGTAGATAAACTTGTAATGATACAATGCATAGACTAAATGTGAATAAGTCAAACAAAAAATAAAAACTACATATGTATGTACATATGTATGTACATTATGTGTATGTATATATGCAATACCCGCGATACCCATTTTAGGCCGGAAAGGCTGTTAGACTGCAAATATTGTCTGAGTTGATTTGAAAATATTATCTGAATATTAAATGTTTAAATTAAAGGAAAGTAAATGTAAGTTACCTACCTAATATATGTACTTATTTAATTATGTAAAAAGAAGTTCCAAATTCAATTTTAAAATTTAGTTTCTTATACAAGTTACCTCTTTTTGTGCTAGAAAGTTTTCTACTGATGATTTGGAAATATAGTATTTTATAAAAATATTATGTACTTTTTTATGTAGGCTGACAGAAATATAGGCCCTCAGTGAGAGTAACAGTTGAAAATGACGAATTTACACAAATCTAATTATTATTAGTGATAATATTTTTAAAGTTTTCCTTGTATTAAATTGAAAAAATTTATTTTAAAGAAACCTTCCATGCTACTGTTCATTGTTTTAAAATTTCACTAAATGGTACTCGCCTAATATAATTTGACAGTTAACCTTAATGTGCAATGTAAGAGAAGTATAATTTTAAAACTTACGACAAAAGCCTGACAAAAATAAGAGTGATTTTTCGATTTTTCTCTGCTATAGTTTCAATAATTTACAAGACATTAGATATTATAATGATTCATCAAGTCGTAATACTTCTGAAACTACTGATATTTTTGCAAATTGTCTAGAGCAATCTAGATCCTTATTAAATTTTAAATTTTTTATTAATGAATAGTGTTCATTATGCGCACTTTTGTGGGAAGTGACCATAAATCCTTACGTTTATCGAAAAACCAAATTCATTTCCATTCGATTATAATATAATCGAAATATCTATCACTAGTTTGATTATTCTGCTTTTCATAAAAATACTGACATGTAATTTGACAACTTGCACCTTTCAATGCAGTAGAAGCAGAAATGCAAAACTTATAAGAAAAAAATTACCGTGAACATTTGTAAGGCATTTTTCGCGAATTGTTGTTTCTCATAATGGAAAAATACGAAACATTAACAATATTACTTGATAATTTATCATCAACTTACGTATTTACCTTAATTTTGACAACTGCAACAATTATATGCACATTTATCTGCTCAAAATATGTTAACTCTTGTCTACAAGTAAGATAAAATCATTGAAATACAAAATTTAAATGAAATTTTACATTTTTTTATCAAGAAAAAAAATGATCAAATGAAAACAACTGCAAATGATTTAAGAAATGAAGACGATGAACAGAACAGTAATGAACTTTCAAAAGGGTTTTTGGGTCAAATAAGGTCTGCAAAATTAAGAAAGCTAGAAGAATTGTTAACTGAAGAACAAAAGGTTGAAGAAAAGAAGTAAGTAAAAACTATGTATGTATAAGTAAATAAAAATCAATTAGGTTAAAATTTTTTTTTTGATTTTTAGTATAGAAAAAGAGCAACTGGCTGCTATTTACAAATTGCTAAAGGAACAGGAATCTATATATCAGACCAAAGAGCTTGACGAAAATGCTTTAAAGGAACAACTAAAGTTATACAGATGAAGCAATCATATTTAGCTGCACTTACATTTAGTTTACTATAAGTAAAGAGTTGTTATGAATCAGTGATAAAAATTGGATTAGTTTATGTTCTTAGACAAAAATAATAAAATGTACATACTTATATTAATTTTTAATTTATAAGCACAAGCAATAAAATATCTTAATACATATGTACATAGTGCTTTAAAAATATGTATAAAACTTAAAACTATTTATTTTTTATGTTTTTTACTTTTTTTGCTTTTCTTTGATTTTTTTTTAACTCTATGGCTGCTATCACTACTCGCGCTCGAACTTTCACTACTACTACCACTTCTACATCTGTGTTTAGATCTGTCTTTCTTTTTTTTCCTTTTTTTATCCTTTTTACTATTCTTCTTCTGTTTTATATTTTCATGTGTTAACTCTACCCATTCTTCGACAATTTTACTTTTTTTCTTATGTTTTTCCATAAGTTTTAGTAACTTATCATCTACGGTCGGTTTTAAATCATGTACACTGAATTTAGGTTTGTTAGAAATAGATTGATTCAATTCACTAGTGCTTGTATTTACTTTCGGTCCGTAAATAATTGATGAATCTTTATCATCTCTTTCCATCAAAATGCTTTCATTATTTCTTTCTACGTGTTTTTCGTTAGTATCGAATGGCAAACCAGTCTTAACCTTCTCTCCAACATTCTCGTGTCGGTGATTTATATCTGTTTTTGAAGGATCTCTAAAAAATGCCGCAAAAATACCTCTTGGCGGTGAATTATTTCTTAAAATATTTATTTCAGCGGCAGTCTTAACAAAATTTGCAGGAAATTTAAGATTTTCTTCATCTTTTTCTGTATTATGTGTTGCGCGTTCAGTGTTATCAATACTTTTACTATTTAGATCATGTTCCTCATTATCACTGAAATCCTCGAATATTTTTTTATATACAGATTTTTTTTCCGAAAGAGGTTTGTCTTTCAATTCCTCAATTTCTTTCTCAAGTTCATTTTTTGGTTCAGTTTTGGAATTTTCTTTTTTTGCAATTCTAGTCGCAATATTTCTGTTATCATTAGATACGATTTCTTTTTCTTTCTCCGCAGTATTACTTCCAACATCGATAGAAATCGAATCCTCTGAGGAAACTCTCTCCTTCGTATTACTTTCAACTTCAATAGGAATTATAATTTCTAATGATGAATCTTTGCCAATACCAATTTCTTTAGAAAACATATCTTTTGCAGATAACCTTTTGGGGCTATCCCTTTGGCCTAAATTTACTTTGACAAATTCCTCAGCTTTTGGAATAATAGTTGGTGTAACAAATGAATCCTTTTTGTTAACAGAGTCTTCTAAATAATCGAATATAGATAATTTCGGTTTTTTTACTGCATTCTCCTCTTTGATTAAATTTACAAATGGTTCAGCTATATTAAATCTCTTGCAAATTAAGGATATGGGATGCCATGTTGATTTGGTTCGTACGGTTTTGCCCCTTCTATCTGGATCTATAATCTTTGATGCTTTTTCAGCATTTTCAGAGCTTTCTGAGACGAATCTGTCTGACATTATTCCTTTAAGTGGTTTGTATATTCTTTTTGCTTGTTCAAATTCTTTCTTTTCCATTTGCCGATCCCACTCTGACATTGTTGGTGGCTGAATGGAACCCAGATATGAAATAATTTCTTCATCTGATTTAAAAGTTTTATTCAAAAAATTTTCATAACGTTCTTGTTTTGCTAAATCTGCCAAAAATGGTTTAAAAATGTTTGACGTCGTCGAATCTAAAATTAAAGAATGTTTACGTGATTATATGAAATTTTTAAAATGATTTTACACGTTCTTATTAACAAAAATTTTTTTTGGTTTTTTTTTTTGTTTTTTAATAAAAATATTTAAACAACGTGGTATTTGCGGAAATCTTCCGCTTTTCATTTTTGTCTATATTATGAACGTGCTTATTATTCTATTACAGTGCAAATATTTTTGTATAAAAATCGAACTGAAAACTCAAACTATTAACATTTAGTCTCATTCACCAAAAAAATGAAGTCAGGAAAAATCTTACGTGCATTTTTATATTTGCTTTTAATAGCATTTTTAATCGATTTAAGTTTCTGCGAAACTCAAAAAGGTAACTACTTTTGCATTTTTCAATACTGGTAAAAGAAATTTTTAAAAAATTAAATGAAAAAATATTACTTTAATTAGTAGAAGAAAGAGCAAATAATGCTCAAAATCAAGAAACAAGTGGAACTTTGGCGGATAGTTTTGGAAAGCATATCAGAGATCCACCGGTACACAGAGCAGACTTTAATTTAAGGCATATTATTCAGTATTTAAGGGCACTAGTGTGATAAAGTTTATTTTATGAATTTAATTTTAATTTGGTGATATTAAGGTCACTTGAATAATAAAATTAACTTTCTTACCCAATTTTTTTGTAATTTTACTGGCCCCATTTTGAATTACTTCAATCTCCTTTTGCACTGTTTCTGAATAAGTATTGGATCCGTTATGAGATATTGTACCATCTTCATTAATTACTTCACTTTTAACAAAATTGCAAGACTTGGATGCAAGCATATCAAGAATTTCGTCCTTTTTATTTTCTACTTTATATTTCTCATTAATTTTTTCCAAATAATTTAATTTTCTTTTATTTCCAAGATCTTCCTTTTCTTTAATTTCTCTACATTCGACACTTTTCTGTTCTATTTTTGTATCTTCAAGTATTGCTCTTCTTTCGTCCAAAGTTACATCATGTCTTCCAAGACCTCTGTTTTTGACATCTTGTTGTTTCTTTAACAAAGCTGCTCTCTCTTCGTCTAATGGCTCAAAACGCGACTTACGTTGTAACCAATTTCTAGGTGTAAAATTCTTTGGAATAATAATATCAAACACCCTAGGTTTGCTATTGCATTCTTTTGCACTGCAAAAGCCTTCAATTACATGCAGATCTTGCAAATCGGTTTTAACAGGTCTGTTACTTTTATTCGTTTGATTTTCTAATGAAAAATCATAATTGCTCATGTCATCGTGATGATAAATATCTTCATCTTCTTCTTCAAGCGCACCTACTCCAAAACCTTTTCCACGAATTGATAGTTTTTTTTCATTATCAAGTACTTCAAGGGGTTCAAATAAATTAAAGTTTTGTTTCAAGACTGGATCTCGACTTAAACCGGTATAACCCAAACCGAAAACATTATCTTTTGGAGTATAGATAAAAGGCTCATAATCATCTGGAGCAAACGTTACTCCTTCCATATCTGACAAATCAGATTCTTCAGAATCCGGCAACGCTGTTTTACCAATGGGGCCCATATCACAACCGTACTTTTTTTGGGATGACTGCTCTTCAAATCTTTGTTTGGCATATTTTTTTTCTTTTAAGGTTTGTCTTGGTCCAATCCCCTGTCCCTCTTTCCAACCCATCTTTTTTAAAATTCGTAAAGCAATATTATCCCTACATGGTTCTATTAACTGCTGCAAAACTGGAACTCCTGGAATAGGTCCACCGCATGTTTCAACAATTTTTCTTTTTTTGTTATTATTCCTGTTAGAGTCGCTGAATTCTTCAGTAGTTTGAATTCGTTGTGGAGCTATGCCAAATTCACTAAAATCTTCATCATCCATAAAATCTGACGGTTTTTGTGTTGGGAAATTAGTTTTTTCATCTCGAGAGCTCTTAAATTCTTTAGGAGTCCAGCCTTCTAACGAGCCCACAGTATTCCAAAACCCCGCACTAAAACCACCAGTGAAAGCTCCATGAAATCTTCGGCGTCCATTTTCGTCTGTAACAATTTGATCTTCTACTAATATTGGTTTTTTAGATGGTACTTCATCTAAAAATAGTTTGATTTTATTGCAAAAATTTAGAAAAAAAATAATATAAACTTGCTTTCTTCTAAAGGTTCCAACGGCGTGCCAAAACGGCAAAAAACTTCCGTTTCATCCATCCTATGGGAAAGTCCTAATATCAAGTAAGAAATTTGAAATTTGTTGAACTGGTTTCAACAATTATACTTTTATACAATATTTAAAAATTTTGCTTTAAAAAATTGTTTTTAGTCTTATTTTTACAAACTACAATCTCTTTTAATGTTTTGATGTATTAGAAATTGTTTATTTTAAAAAAGAAAAAACAGCTGTTTTTTATCAATTTTGTCCCAAATTTTGGCATTGTCATACTGTAATTTCTAGTGATCGCATTATATATTTAAAAGTAAAGAATCGATTCTACAAAATATAAATAAAAATATTTTACTTATACTTATAAATAGAAATATTAAAAATATTTAAAGTCGATAAATATACAAACTACAGATCAAACTGCAAAACAAAATTTACCGCAGATGTCTTTACAAAACAAAAATTAAATTTAAATTCTTTCTTATTATAAAAAAGCTCATATCCTTTACTTTTTTTTTAAATTTTGTAAAGCAATGGAAATTAATCATTAGGAAAATAAAAAAAAATTACAAGAATAATAAACAACTTACTCATCGTAAAAACAAAAATATTGCTAATGACGAGAAAGAAATTTCAGAATAAATATGTACACCTTAAATTTTTCAGCGATAAAAATTTCATTTGGTGGTAAAGTACTCTAGGATAATCTCAAAATGGGAACTCAGCTGTTTCTAAGTTTTGGGCGAAATTAATTTTTTTCCACTGCCAATCTAAGCGTAGTCAGTCTATTCCTCGGAATAAGAAAGTTAAATTTTTTATGACATTGACATAAGTAAAAATTTTTGAATTACCAAGTGTCAAATGTCAATTTTATATTTTGTATTTACTAAAAATTTAATTTTAAAAGCAATAATTAATGTGATTGATAACTATGAAATAAACTATATTTGCTTACAAAATTCATGTAAAAATGAATTCAATAAAAAAAAATCCATATGTATCACGTGTTAACCAACTAGATGCAGTTCATTTAAATAAAGATATTTACCGTCTTATTCGTGAAAATATTTTTGAAGCACTTCAAGAAATTTCAGTAAGCTAATCCGAAAATCATCTTTTTTTTATTAATTTCATTTTGCAATTCATTTTAAGCCTATAGTCTTCTCAAAAATTCAGCCGGAAATTGATCTTTTTATACAATCAGCTATATGGCTTGGTTCAGTTGGTAAACAATCAGCTACTTTTGGTCAACAAATTCTTAGATTATCTTATGATACTGATAAGCTTACAAAATCAAGATTATGTTTACATTTTATATTAAGTATTTTACCGCAATATATGAAAAGTATAAGTGAACAAAGATTAACTGGGAAATATTGGATTCAAAAAATTTTATTTTATGCAAACAATGCTGCTTTAGTTCTAACTGTTGTGAACTTTTTTAGATTTTTAAAAAATGGAAAGAAACCAACGTTAATTGATGTTTTATTGGGTTTGGATTATGTAACTTTAGAAGGCGGACAAAAAAGAAATTTAGGATATGATTTTATGACCCGAGAATTGATTTGGGGAATTTTTATGGTAAGTTTATTTAGTTTTTGACTAAATAGTAAAATGAAAAAGTAATTTATTGTTACTTGCAGGAATTAATTGGATTAATAGTTCCAATGATCAATTTACACAAAATTAAACGAATATGCAGATTTTATATTAAACCACATAGTCTTAGCAATATTATAGATAATTTAAAAGCACCTGAAATGAATTTAGAAACAACTTGTGCATATTGTAAAGAAAGACCCACTCTGCCACATTATGCTAATTGTAAACATATATTTTGTTATTACTGTTTGCATGGAAATTTTTTAACAGATTCAGATTTTACATGCCCTATATGTGATATAAAAGTGGAAAAAATTATTCAATTCAAAGTTTGATTATTTTTGAAAATAACTTGTAGGAAAGAATGGTTTTTGGGAACGAATCATAATTTTCATTTTTTTTTTACAAAAAATTGATCTTGGAAATTATTATCCAAAATAAATATTGAAAAAAATACTAATTTCTATTGTTTGTCTCTTGATTTTCCTTTAATTTCTATCAAATCAGTAATTTTGGGCTTCTTTATAATATAATTTTAGGAAGCTAACTAAATACCGTCTACTAAATAATAATTCACAAATTAAATCATTTATATTAACTGTATTAAATCTTATTAAATTTCTTGTGTAACTATGCAGATACAGTTCGCCCTTTGAATAAGCTTTTCCTAATAAAATTTGCATAAAATATACCTATGTTATTAATGTAAAACTTAAATATTAAAATAAATTTCTTTCAATTTATGACTTGCAATTATTTTTTGGATAATATTCTGATAATGTTGGATTATAATCTACATTATAAGCACGTTTCATTCTGTGTTGTAATCGGAAAACCCGCGAACCTTTATTTCCAAAAATAAAAATTAACACATCACTTATAACTAAAGTAGGTACCTATATTAAGTAGAATTTTATATTTCAACCACTTCAAGTACTGGATTGAAAAAGATAAAAGAGATTATTAATTTATTTTAAGTAGCCGTTAGAAATACTCTTTAATGATTAGATAATTCAGTTCTGTATTAATATCTTTAAAAGCAGTCGCTTAATTCGCTTACCTTAATCAGTTCAATTAAATTTTAAAAGTACGTATAATTTTAAAGAAACATTCAATTTGTAAATAGATAAGTAAATACGCAAAGTGGTACACAAAGTATAAAAAGTTTTTGCAAAATTTTTAAGCATTTAATTTAGATTTGGATTTTCGCTTATGATGTTGAAAAGTTTTCTGTTAGTTTTAATTGCTGTTGCAGCAGTAAATGCCCACAGTGGCCGTGTAGTCGGAGGCACAGATGCCGAAGAAGGTGAATTCCCATATATCGTTTCACTTCGTAGCTCATTTGGATCACATTCATGCGGTGGTTCAATTCTCAATAATCAATGGATTCTTACTGCAGCGCATTGTGTTGGCGCAGGAGCCAATGGAATAACTATTCAATATGGTGTTACTAAAATTGATTCAAGTGGACCAAATGTTTCTAAAGTATCGAAAGTAATCACACACGAAAAATACAGTCCTTCAGATAATTATAGAAATGATATCGCTTTATTAAAACTAACTGAGCCTATTCAATTTAATGACAAAGTTCAACCAGTCAAACTCCCAACACAAAATCAAGAATTCCCACACGGAACTTCTTCACTTTTAGTAGGATGGGGATTAGATAAGGTGAGTTCATATCTTTTAGTTCTCAATATAATTTTTAATAGGAACTAAATTTTTTTCTTAGTCTGGAGGTTCTATCCAAAAAATCTTACAAAAAGTTGATTTAATTGTATTTAGTGATGCGGAATGTACAAGCCGCCATGGCGGTAGAACCGATTCGTCACAAATTTGCGGTGGTGTACCAGAAGGATGGAAAGGACAATGTAACGGTGATAGTGGGGGTCCAATGTCTGTCAACGGTGTTCAAGTTGGCATTGTTTCTTGGAGTGTAAAACCTTGCACAGTTCCACCTTATCCAGGGGTTTATACTAAACTTTCTCATTTTATTGATTGGGTTAACGAAAAAATCAGTAAAAATTAAATTATGTAAAATAAAAATACAAAAGTAAAATAAAAGTATAGCTTGAATATGATTTTTACTCAATTAAAATTGTTGAATTTTGAAAATGAAAGTACTTGCAGTACTTTAAGTGATAAACGTATTAAGCCTTTTATTTTATTAATCATTTACCTAGAATACTACGAGCCTTCTGCTTTTTCTTTATTTTCATTTATGCTAAGATCATGCAATTTGACGTTTTTAATATGCTTTCGTATTTTTTTCTTTTTTACAGTATCATTTTCATCAGCTTTAGTTTTTTCTTTAAATTTTTTATAAGGGTTCCTTTTAACTTTTTCAATTTGTTCTTCTAACGTTAGTCCGGAAATACCATTTTCTTCATACCACATATGTAAATGTTCCCTGAATTTTTTATAATTTCTTTGAAATTCTAGGCTCTTAGAAATTTTATGCTGAAATTTTTTCATTAAAAAAAATTTTAACAACTTATACAAATTTACTTACTCTGACATTCACCAATTTTGCACACTGCTGATTGAATTTGGATAAATGGCATAAAAAAGCTTCATTAGGCCGAATTTTTTCATCCAAAGCAATTTGCATGATTTCAGTTATATAATCGAAGTCTTGATTACGACATCCTTGATTAAGCATTGCGCCCAATATTTGAGTATTCATGCTATATTTTTGACATAGTTTTAATAACTAAATTAAAATCACACTTAAGTTTCTTACCTCATATCTCTTTGTTTCATATTTTTTAATAATTCTCTAGCTTCTTCTTTTGTCTTACAAGATAATGAGAGAATGCCATAAGTAAAGATATCTGGTTTTAATTTTACAGATTTTATCATATTCAAAACCTCTTTCGCTCCATCGTAGTCAAATCGTAAGCAACGTTTCTTTATTAAGGTGTTAAAAAAATCTATGTCGGCTTTTAAACCATCTTTTTTTATTGTCGAAATTAACGTTTTTTCTGCGGAATTTGTTGATGGAATAACCTCTAAAAGCATTGTAAATGTCTCTATGTTTGGGGTTACTTTATTGAATTTCATTTCTCTTAAAAACCCTGAAAAGCCACCAATTAGAAGTAATCGATCTTCGGGTTTTCGAATCTCATTTATTTTTATTAGATTTCCTAAATGGGGGTTTGAGCATAGCAAATTTGGAACATCATTTGCATAAAAAACTTCTTTAGGAAGTACTAAGTCAGTTTGTGTAGCGCTCGAAATATTTGTGTTTGATTCACTAGTTTGAACACAAGAACCTCCATTTTCATTACTTGCAATCACCTTAAAAATAAAAATGAATAGTTCGAATTATTTTTCATCTTAAATAGGTAGGTACTCATTTGTGGAAAAGAAATGCAAGTGAATAAAAAATAAACTTACTTTTAATTCGCCTTCCCCTTCTTTTAAAAAATTCTTACTTTTATTTATTATATCATTTATGACGTCATACATAGATTCTAAATCTCCTATTGAACAATTTTTCACACATCTTAGAATTGTATTAAAAGAATAAATATCTGGGCGAACATCGTTTCTTTTCATTTTATGCCAAATCAATAGGGCATGTCGAAATCCAAATTCCATATCTGAAGCACAAGCCTGTAATAAGAAATTGAATGTTTCAGTTTGAATAAGGAAACATTTCTCCCTCATTTCATCAGCAATTTGAAAAGCTGCAGACAAATCTTTACAACGACCATAAGCTTTTATCATTGCATTATAGTTTTTCTCATTAGGTTGTAAATCGGATTCTATCATTATTTCTCTTAAACGATTAGCTTTAGCAAGACCATCAGAAATTGTTGGAGCATTTGCGCAAGCGTTAAACAAAGAAGTGAGTGTGCCACCACTAGGCTTTAAGCCATATTGTTTCATTTTAAAAAATAGTTTAAAAGCTTTTCGGGTGTATCCAACTTTGGCACATCCGCTTATTAATAAGTTAAAAATGTATCTATCCGGATGTATGCGATCTCTTTTCATTTCAACTTCTAGTACATCTAAGGCTTCCTTAACTTGCCGCTTATCTAAATGTCTTTTAATGCACCGAGCATATTTAATAGTTTCTTTGTCCCTTGATGGTAATTCCTTAATATATTCCTCTTCCTTCAAATCATCTGCGTCATCCGATTCGTCTGAAAGACAATACGAGCCTCCAAAAGTATCCGGATCATTTGACGGCTTATATTCTTTATCTCTTATTTCACTTCTAATATTATGATTTTCTAAATCAAATTTGAATTTACTGTTCGCAATAATTTGTGTTTGGTATTGCTTTTCGAATTTTGGGTTCCATATTTTATGTTGCTTTAAAAATTTATTCGATAAACGAGTATTGCCTCGAAATAATCTTAGAATACCGCAAGATAAAATTTTTGACATTCTTTTCTTTTACCTCTTCGTAGATCACAAAAGAAACATTAAATAGTTTGCGAAAATCATTAAAAACCATTAATTTGAAATTAAAAAAATTGTTTTTTGTTTATAAACATAAAAAAAAGCACATTTGTGTCAGCTGATGCTGGTTATCAACAACAAAAATTACATTTAGATTGTCAAACCGGCCGCTGTATGTGTGTGTTTTATGTTTTATTCAATTCCTAGTTGTAATCACTTTTGTAATTACAAAATTGCACAAGAATTGGAAATTGTTTTTTTTTATTCAAAAAGAAAGTAACAGTAATTGATATTTTTGGATTAGTATTGAAAACTCATCAAGAAATTATTATTTTAAATATACATAAGTATATAATTTTATAAAAATTATATACATTTTTAAAAATATATGTATTTTATTTCGTGCAATTTAATCGAATGGCTAGTTCAATTTTATTTAATAAAATACACAACGCAGGCATTTTTGACGTCTGAAAGATATTAGTTAATAATTTACGGACCAAGTTGCTTGATAGTGTTTATTAATAGTCAATAATAATTAAAAAGACGAGTATGATAGTGTTTATTAATTTCTCTTGCAAACGGAACTAACATTCAAGAAGAAACCACTTGTTAATGGTGAAGTTTTGCGAACAAAATCAACATTACAAAATTAGAGCACATAAAGTAATTGAAAAAATGCAATCTTAAAACAAGAAAATCTTTCGTCGTTCATTCTCTTAAGCATTACGTTAACTAAGTGTTTTTATAACGGAATTTACCACGATTCGTAAATTTAAAATTTCATAATTTGAGTGAGTTTATTCGCTAATATTGATAAATTGGTATTAAAACAAATATGAATCTCATTTTGGAAAATTAAAAAAAAATTTTGAAAAACAAAACTTTCTACTCCTGCAGTTTTAAAAAATAATCCAAAAATGGCTGTTTGTAAAGGTTTGAAATTAGCTCGCAAATCAAATAACAGATCATTGTTGATTAAAAAATACTAAAATTTAGTAATTACGGCAATTCTTATCTAAACTTTGAAAAACAGTGTTATAGTGCAATTAAAAACAGGCACTTTCAAAGTAAAAAATAAACAAAATATTGTAAGGATCTCGAATTTTTGCACATATGCAAATTTGTTTTGAAATTGAAGATAGTACCTTGGGTCAAATGGAATATGAAGAAAGAAGTAGGATAAATTTTTCAATACAACTTAGCTTTTTAGTCAAGTTAATTAAATTGGACATTTGTTTAATTGCCTTAAAAATTTTTTAGAACTTCAAAAGCGCAAAGAAAAGGCTTTAAATGAATGTAACAGACAGTCAATAGCTGAAGCTTGCAATAATTTAGGGGATTTTTATAATCAATCCGGTAGATATTTGGAAGCTGCAAAAGAATATGAAGAAGAGGCTTTGTTGTATGAAAAACTTGGAACCAATTTTGTTCTGCCCAAGTCCAAAGCTCATAGGATGGTTGGAGAAATGTTCATGCTACTGAGTGAATTTGAAAACGCTCTAAAATATGTTAATTTATATTTAAGTAAGTTTTAAATTTCTATTTGGATTTTTTAATTCAACTCATGTATGAATACGATCGCATAAAAAAGCACTTATATCTAAAATTTTTCAGAACAAGTGCAGAATTTATGTAATAAAATTGAAGAACAGAGAGCTTATGCTACCCTTGGCAGGGTTTACTTGTTATATGGTCAAAGCAGTGGAGAAGCAACAACAGCTTCAAAACAACTCAAAAATGCTGAAAAGGCATTTATAAAAAGTCTTTTAATAACAAAAGAGTAAGCATATTGCGAAAAATGAATTTTTTAAGTTCTTTTAAAACTTAACCTCGACTATCTATTTTCCATACTATTAATACATATTTTAATATTAGTCTTACAGGATCAGTGAATAAATTTGAACTATTAGATATGCAGGCAAGGTTGTACCTCAATATTGGAGTAGTGAAAGAGCATATGGGAGAATTCGAAGAAGCTGTTGAATATAAGGAAAAAGCAGTTAAAATTGCGAAAGCAAACGATATGTTTGAATTACTTCATTTGTGTTATATTTCTATTAGTCTCTTATATCAAATCAAGAAAAATGATTGTGCTATAGCTCTACGATTTTGCAACTTAGCATTGGAAGTAGCTGAACGCCTCCCTGAAAAAACAAAAAAGGTGTGTGAAACTTTGTTAACAAAAGCAGAAATTCTTATAAAACAAGGAGATTTTCAAAGCGCAAAAAGAGTTTTGGTTAAAGCTTACAAACTTAGAACATCTGATTTAAATGACAGACAAAATATTGAGAGAAATTTAAAAATTGGTAAGTAATTTTTCCATTTAGAAATTATATCTACTACGTAAATTTCTTTCAATTCTGTTGTAGTGGCAGCCATATGTTATGCTTTACATTCTCTAATTGAAACAAAAATGGAAGATTATGATACAAGAAAACGATTATATGAAAAAATTGGGGACGGCAGCTGTTCATTACAAAATTATGAAAAAGCTATAGAATATTATTTGCAAGCTCTTGATGCTGCCCGAAAAAATGGCGACACCATAAAACAATTAATCCCCATTTATATTAGTTTATATCAAACATACAAAGATAACAAAGAATATGAGAAAAGTTTAGAATTTTTATGGAAAGAGTTTGAGGCTAATAAAAACATTCCAGAAGAAGCAGTTACAACTTTATTTAACATTGGAGAGGTTTGTGAAATACAAATGAAACCGTTTTGGACCGTTTATGAAATATACCAGAAAGCATGCAACGAATCTAAAAAGATTAATCAAAGTAATAAATTACTTAAAATTGCTCTCGTAAGGCAATTTAAATTGGCTATAAAATATAATATGACTTCTGTTGCCGATGATATAAAAGAGGAGGCTTTAAAAGAAAATATTAATATTGAAGATATAGAAAATGATCTTGACGATGATTCGGAAGAATTACTTTCAGACGAAAATACTCCGGACATTGGTGAAGATATATGCTTAGAAAATCTAACAGATTCTGATAATGAATGTGAGGAATTACAAACACTTCGCCCAGTCAGGAAAGCCCGGACGTCCTTGACTATTAAAAGAAATAACAAAGGTGAAACTCAATTACATCAAGCCTGCATTTCTGGAAACTTAAATTTAGCTCGACGTTTAATTGATCAGGGCCATGCAATTAATGTAAGAGATCATGCAGGATGGTTACCTCTGCATGAGGCATGCAACCACGGTTTTAGGGACATAGTAGAACTTCTTTTAGATAAAGGAGGCACATCATCTATAAACGATAATGGAGGTACAAGTTGTGATGGAATTACTCCACTTCACGATGCATGTTGTAACGGATATTTAGACGTTGCGGAACTACTATTAGAAAGGGGGGCAAATCCTACACTTAAAACTGATTTTGGCGATACCGCGCTGAATATGTTAGATAAGTGGCGGAATTCAGTAGATTTAGATTATGACGAACAAACGAGATATGAAATAGTCCGTTCAAAAATAGCTTCTCAGTTAAATAAAATTGGAGAGAAAGTTACTTCACCGCCTTTAACTAATTCATCAAAAGCTATTGATAATTCAATAGGAAAAGTTAGGCAACCAAAGCGAAACAAGAGCGATATAAATTTATATACTCAAAGTAATAGTAGTTCAAAAAGGAATTTGGGCACTCCAGCTTTACAATTGGAAGATGAATTTTATGAAAGTGAATCAGACTATGAGCTTCCCGCAAACATTTTGAAAGAAGATAGTAGAAATACAACTAATTTTGATAAAAAATTGACAGCGCGAAATGAATATAAAAGTGCTATACAAAATTTAAAACATCCAAATAGATTAGTTACTATTCTTCCAGAAACTTTTGAAATTATGAAGAACGAGGCTCAGAAAAAAAGGGGAGCGTTTTTAGATGAGGATGAAGTTGACGATGATTGGCTAGATAATGATGTGGGTTCTCATAAGAAAAGACATAAGTGCGATAGTGATAACAAAATATATGCAACACATCCAAATACCTTAAAAAGAGATACAAGTAGCTCTCGACATTCTGGAGATTATCTAACTGTGCCAACTTCACAATATAGTATTGAAAATTCAGATTCTTCAGACGCTGAAAGTGTCGGCAAACAAAACGCATTCACGGTATTATTAGACCCTAAAAATAAAAGCAATAAACAAGGAAAAAAAATGCGAAGGACATTAAGTATGAACAGTAACTCTAGTAGAAGATCGAGTACAGGAAATTGTCAATCTTCACTTTTAGATAAAGGGTTTTGCCGTTTTGGTAGTAATAACGCATTAATAAACGAGGATTCTTCAAATCGACTCATCGAAATAGAGCCTGATTCTACAACAACAGTGTATGAATCTCCAAGAAAAAAAGAAATTACAATAATTAAATTAAGTCCTCAAAAAGTAAATTCAATTATTTCTTTTAAAATTAAAGTGGAAAATGAATTGTTATTGGTACCAGTAGAGAGAAAGAAAACAGGAGAATTAAGTATTAAATGGTTGGCTGAAGAAGCTTCTAGGCGATACTATAAGTAAGAAAATTTATGTTTAAATTTTTGCTTGCAAGGTTTTATTTTTTAAAATTAAATAGCTTAGTTGGAATACGACCTGTTTTACGTTTAATGACGCCAGACGGATTTGGTTTTGAAGAAAGCGATAGTATAAACATTGCCATTGAGGAAAATATGATATCATCAAAAGTATTAGATTGGAAAATTTCACCTTTACCAGAAAGATATGAAGAAATGTGTCACCAGTTAAACCAAGGTTAGTTCCGCCATATTTCTGTACAAAGTACATTTTAATATTATTTCACTTTATTTTTCAGTTACCGACGAATTTACAAAATCAACATTAGAAAAATCGCACATTTCAAATATTTTATCTTTGGCTAATTTGTCTTTAACTCCCCTATCCACCGAACCTATTTTTAAGGCGCTTTTGCATCAATCAACGCTTCGAGTTTTAGACCTATCTAATAATTTCATTCAAAATGAAGGATGTAAACAACTCGGAAAATCATTAATAACTTTAAAGCAACTAAAAACCTTAAATCTCGAAGGAAACTGTATCACATCAGACGGTTTAATGTACTTTATAAAAACAGATTGTGTTCACTCGCAAGAACAGCAGTTTTCCGAATTAGAAACTTTAAATTTAAGTTTTAATCCATTAGGTGACAGAAGTCTTGAGCATTTAGAAATGTTATGTAAAATGTGTAAAAAATTAAATAGTCTCAGTCTTCAATCTTGTAGTTTGACAAATTTTTATGAGTATAACTTGAGTTTTGAAAAATTAATAGATTTTAATATTAGTTTTAATGAATTAACAACCGAAAGTATGAATAGGCTTTTAAAAGGTTTAAATTCTTCTCTAATTCAAAAATTATTACTAAACTTTACAAACCATAAAAACAAAGAATTCGGTACAAATTTTTACATATTCCTTGAAAGTGGAACTTGTGAAAAAATTAAAAATGTTGAGCTTGCTAATTGTAATTTAACTGATTCAGATGTTTATAAAATTGTTAAATTATTAAATAAATGTAAGTATTTGGAGTTAATTAATTTAAGTAATAATAATAAATTAACTGGCGCTTCTTTTAAATATATAATTGAAAATTTAGGTAATGTTCATAAAATTATATTAGAGGAATGTCCACACATTGTGGAAATATCCAAATTACAAAATTTAAATTTGAACAATTTTCCTGATTTTCTATCATTAACTTTGAATGAAACATCAACAATAGATATTGAAACTTTATGTAGCAAAATAGAATTTTTAAAAAATTTTTGGTACAATTGTTATGGGGACAAGGGTAAAGTTTTTCATAAAGGAAATTATTTTTGTCTTTACATTAATGAAAAAGATTTGATTTTATGATATTTATAATTCTGTAAGACTTCTGTACCTGTTTAAGTTAGTATATAAGTTTTTGTTTATTACATAATTCAAAAGTTGCTATTCACAAATTTTATTATACTATTTTTGTAAACGAAGAATAATTTAAAATGTTTAATTTTTATTTTATAAAATTTTTAATATAACGATTTTCATAACGAAAAAGGTTTTTTTTAATTTAAATTCATCCGTTTTAAACATAATACGTAATTTATATAATAACATTTATTTAAAAAGAGTAAAATTAGGTTTCTTGGGCTTGACGATTCTCAAAACTAATTAAGTTTCTATAAAGTAATGCAAATTCGATTATTAAGAAAAAATAAAAAATATTGAATTTAAATATTTATATAAACGATTATTTATTTAGCCCTTCTAAAAATAACATTTCCTTTTTAGATTTCTGTAATTTTAAAAAATTACAGTTTCTAATTGATTAAATATCCATATTTTCCAAATGCTTAAATTAAGGAAACATTTAAGTAAATGTCCTTTTACTGATGTGAAAAACATTCATATTTTCATCAGATTTTTACACATCTTATATAATATTGATTATTTACAAATGAGGAAAAAAAACTATTTACAAAACTCAATAACAGATATTACAATACAAATTAAAATTGATGATAGTAAAAACGTTGCAAAACCAAATTATATATTTCTTTTATTAATTTATTTGATTATAATTTTGTATTTTATACAATTTAAGAAAATTAAATCTTACTTTTTCTCCACAAAATCTTTATCTTTTCAATCAGTCTCTCAAGTTACCCTAAATTACAATATTATAATGCATTAATTTGTTTAAATCTAGTAATAAAATATTTAAAAATAAATTACAATTTAGCAAATTTTTTGATTAAATACAGTATCTTAATTTTAAATTTAAGAAATCATAATTTTTATTTAATTTTTATAAAATCCGATTTCAGGTTATGATTTTTTTCTTTTTAAACTTTTAATTTTTAAATATAAATTTTTTGATTTCTTAACACTGTACTTAATAAATTTAGTTTTAATATTGGATAAGAACGGTTTGGAAAATTATTTTTTGCATTTTAAACTATTAGATATTTGAATAATTGGATTTGAATTGTAAATTTGTTATTTTGTGTAAATAACGCATTTTAACATTTCGTAAAACACATAATATTATGTACCCACATAAATTTTGAATGTCATAACATAAGTTCGACTATTATAAAAATAATATTGAATTTATGTCAATTAAAATAATATTGTAAGTTACTTACTAGTTAACATTTTCAAAGAAGGTTTCTACTCTCTTAACGTACAAGTGCTTTTTTCAACTATCATTGCTTTGGTGTGTCATATAATTTTGAACTCTTTCTATATTATAAAACTATAAAATTTTCTTAACACTTTAGAGTACTTTGCAGTTTTCTATTTTATAATAAGTTTTATAAAAGATATGAACCTACCCGTACATTGCTAATTTTTTTTTAATTTTACATCTTAAGTTGAAATATTCATAATTAGTTAACGAGCACTCTGAAAGATTTATATGTAGGCATTGCAACAGTTCTTAATTTATTTATTGTTTTAATTTCAAATATTTTTTATTATAATTATTATATTAAATATACATATATTAATAATTATTTCCAAATAATTATGAATTTCTGTATTTACATAATTTTTAAAATACATTTATAAAATAATCTGAATATAGTTTTATGCGTTGTTGTTAAATGCCATTAATTAACAATTTGTTAATTAAAGGCATTAATTTTTTATTAAATGATTATTTGCTATAGACTTAATGCTTTAAAGTGTGATGCATGTAACTGCTGCAAAAACATATTATAAATAATTAATAATATCAAATCATAATATATTTTTTTGTATTTAATATTTTAGAAATATTTTCATTTCGAGTATAAGTAAATACGCATATATATTAATATATTTGATTATTCCATTTTAAGCATGAATATTTTATATTTTTATTAAGATTTTTCTTATATTCTTAGTGGTTTAGGAATTATTCAATTTAGTATTTTATTTCAATATTGGGCAGTTTTCTATTGAGGTATATTGTTTTAATTCCATTTTTAACTTAGTTTAATTTTAAATTTATTGTACTGAAATTTCGAGTGTTAACATATAATTTTTATTTTCTTTATAAAATTTGTGTATTATATGATTTTTTCGATTATTGATTTCTGATTAATTTTAATGTTGTATTGTATGAATACCCAAAGTTTTTAAGATGTAATAGTAAGTTTGAATTTCATGGGTTGAGTAAACCTTTCTGTTAATATTTTGTGAGAGTTCAACTCTAAGCATATTAGACCCTCAGCAGACCAAAAAACTTTTGTATTTTGAATTTAGTATGTACTTTTTACTTTCATTAGAATATATACTAAATTTATTTAATATTCTATTAGTTTGGCTAGTTTATCTTTAATTTATTGTAAATATTATGTTTTCCAAATTCGCATATATAAATTCGCTTTTTTTCTTTGAGGATTAATTTTAGAGTATTTTAAACCAGGTGGCCATTATTTATTTTAACTTTGATGTATGACTCAACTACAAAATTTTTATAATTTTCTTTTTTTCTATTTAAATTATTTAGACTTACAAAAGGTTTTCAATTATATTCTAACAACAGAGGCCAGGTTTGAATATTCATATGAATAACCATAGACTAAAATAACATAGGAGAGAACTATTGTCCATAATCTGCTAGTGGCATCATTTGACTTATTAAGTTTTTATTCAATTTGTTGTAATTTTCTTTATCAAATCAATTTGGAATTTTGAATTCTAAGCTGAAAACCAAAAAACTTTTTAATATTAACCAATCGTCTCAAGTGATGAGATATGTGACTAACAGAATATGGTTGTATAAAAGAGGTATAATATAAGGAACTACTTTTTACAAATAGTATTTCTTATATTATTGAAATTAATAAATTTTGTTTTTATAAAAAAGCATAAAATACTTAAATGACTTGTAAATACTTGTGATTTCTCAAAGTAATTGGTGTTATTAGTCAGATTTAGTTGTGTTTTTTTTCAATCATTTGAATTTCTTTTTTAAATTCATGTTATAAGCGTTATAAGTGAAATAGGTATAACATTTTTGTTATTTACATAGTTAGAGTCGAGACTTATGTCTGAAATAGATAGAGTGAAAAATATTATTTAAACCACAACTTGAATAACGTATCAATTTTCGATTGGGATTTCGAAAAAATAATTAACACTTGCCATCATTTTAAAATAGAAGGATACAAGAACTAAACATTGTATAAAATATTATTTGAGTATTAATGTTTGTAATGTAAAAGGGTTAAATAAAATATTATCCACTCTGGTTTCAGAAGAATTTTATTTCAAAATGTTTTGTGTATTTAAAGAAATGAACCTTTAAGTTTTTTAATTTTAATGTAAAATGAAAAAAAAACTCAAAAACGTTAAAAAGGCAAATTGTTTACTGAATTTAAACAAGAAAAAATTAAAAAAATATAATGCAAAAGTAAATTTAATTAAGAAATCATTGATGTAAAGAAAAAATAAAGTAGTAACTAAATAAAAAAACAAAGTCTTATAGAACAAAAATAAAAATACCAAGATAATTTATACGAAAAAATCAGTATATATGTATTTAATTTTAAATAATATTTTTTTTCTTTTTTATAATAACAATATTTCTCGTTTGTTTCTTTTTTTGTTTTCAAATTTTACTTAACATTATTTAAATTTATTTTATTCGTTTGCCTTTAAAAATTTCATCAATTCATTAAAAAATATAGATTGTAAAACAAGCAAAACTTAGTTTTTAACTAACAAAATTTAGAAGTCCTTTCTTCCTCTTTAAAGTTAGTTAAAAATTTTATTAATACAATCATATGTAGTTCTTGTGTAATAATTTTGGGCTGTTTTACAAATATACATTTCCAGTAATTTGTACATTATAGTATATTAGTTTTTAATTATAATGCTTCGTAACAACATTTTCATGATTAACGATTTTTTTCTAGAGTGCCATCATCACTTTTATTATTTAATTTTTATACTATAATGTACTATTTGTATACTATTAAAATTATAATCTAAATATAACAGGTATATGTAATAATTAATATAATATATAAATTTTAAAATATATAACATTTTAATTTAATAAAAAAAAAATTACGGTTTAAAAAAAATATAAAAATCATAAAAATGTTTTTATTTAAAGGCTTGAAGATGCTTTCAGGATCAGGATGTAAAATATGCGTGTATATAATATTTTTCATCAATGTAATAATTTTGTGCTGCATCTTGTTGATTTCTTTTTATATAAAATTTTATTATATAATAAAATATTAATTTATATTAATCTAAAATATAATATTAAATTAATTTAACAATTTGTATAATTTAATTTTTTTCTCTCTAGCTTTTATGAAACAAAAAAAAATTCCAAAATATTTTTGGAAATTAATTCATATAAAAAAGTACACAATTTAGGATTTGCATTTGATGAGCATTATTTTTGCTCATGATTTCTTGTAAAATTTAAAGTTCTTGTAATCAATATTAGTTTTTATATAGTTTTATATTAAAGAGATTAATTCCAATTCACTTATTATTGATTACATTGCTAAATCAATTATTTGATTTGGTCTCAAATAAATAATTGACAGTATTTTAAATATTAATTTTTTGTTTGTTTTTTTTTTTTTTTGTAATGGCACTGCAGTTAATAAGGTTCTAGAACTTCAATTAAATAAAGTTTCTTTCAGTTTTTTAATTCAAGATTTTTTCAGTTTTATTGTTTCTTAACTATTTTCAGATTTATAGTTTACATTGATTTCGGCAAGATAATAGTCTGTAAAACGAAGACTTTTTAATTTCCAACCAGAAGATACCAATTATTGTCAAAGTTTTACCATAATGTACAATAAAATTTGTAATAAATTTATGTTTTTCTTTTGGCTTTTAAAATTTAAGGCATGAATACCTAAAATATGATGAAGTTGGACAAAATTGAACATTTTGTTAAAAATGTTTTAATTGCAAAAGTAGTAAACTATTCAGTATTATGATTGTAATTATGTATTTTAAAGTTTGTTTAAAATTTGCCTTCTTAGGTATTTATTCATTGCTTGGTTTTTTTATTGCGAACAACAGTCAAATTTTTTTTTAATTACAAATGTAAAAATTTTTTACTTATATATTTTATAATGAATCAGTTTTATTTGGATATTAAATGTTGAAAATAAATTTAAATATTTTTAATTGTGTGGAAATTAAATTATGAAAATCTTCGAGAACATTTATTTTTTGATCTATGATTTTATTCCTATATCTGTTTGAATACGTTCTTAATAATCATTCATAATATTTTACATTTTTTTTATAGTAATTTTATTTTATGCATTCTTGATATGTTTATGTTACAAAATGTAGATTTTGTTATTATGGAACGGTTTTTAATATTGGTATTTTCTAGGTACAATCTCTTTTACAATCTTTCAATAGGTTTTCATTTTTAAAATCATAATTAATTAGTCATACATAAAAAAATTTTTTGTGCCAAAATTAAAATTTTGTAAACTATAACTAATTTTAATTAATCGATGTAAAAACTCATTTTCAAATTAAAATACAAAGTTTAAAAAGTTTTTTGACCAAAAGAAAATTGAAAATTCTTATTATATTTATTGTGGATGTTTGTTTGTTTATTTTTTTCAGTCTCAATTTTGAATTAAAAATAAAAAGACAAATCGTCAGTTTGTTTTCTTCTCAATTTTTGTGTCAAGTCTTTAATCTTCAAATCAAATATAACACATATTTAATTTTTTCAACAGAAATTAAATATTTTATTCGATTTTTGTTTTTTAATTAGCTGTGCAATGTGGATTCGAATTAACATTATAATGCTATATTGCCCAAAATATATTTATTCTATTAGATATAATAATTCATTGTTAGAGTTATAAATTGTAAACTTATCATAAATACGTACAATATTGATAGTGCATAAAACAGAAAACAAAAGTAAAAAAAAAATTTAAAGGCGTTGATTCAAAAACAAAAAAACGTTGTAGCCACATTATTTTAATATTTAAAAATATGTACTTATTTACCAGCGTTTCAACTGTATACCTTTATTTTTAAATTTAAAATTTGCGATAGTTACATTTTCAAAAGTGAAATGTTGAGTCTTTTTAGTTTTCAACGTTGACTGGCTATATTTTCAATTTATATAAAACAGTTCAAGTTGCCTTGCATGTTAGTTATTTTTATGTCATCTTCCCCTTTCATGCGATTCAGAACGAAAAAATTTCAAATAAGACAAAAAAGCTAGGAAATATCCTAATCGCTTACATATAAAATGCAAAATATAATGTTATGTAATATAAGCTTAAATGAAAACAAAATTTAAAATATTATACTATACTTGCACTTAAGTACATTCAGTCTCTTTCATCAATCTCAAAATAAGAGCAGAAAATTTAAATGACTTTAAAATTTGATATTGTAATTTCTTTTTTGTTTTTCTTCTACATGTGTAGTTTTTAATTTTGTATAACATTATGTTTTCATTTTAATCACAATACATTTTTTATGATATTCAATCTCTAATCAAAAATTTACAAATAAGTAAATTTAAATTAAGAAATACTGGTAATCATTATTGCTCATCATGGCTGCTATGGAATCTTATCATATTTTCACAGAATTTAGTAATTATTATAAATAGAGATTTGATTTTGACACCATGACATCCCAGATAATAAAAGAAATTGAAAACAAAATTGGCATTTTTTTTGCCATACAAAGAAAATATTTTAACATTTTCAAAGGTTTAAAGCCAAAATTTATGACTTTGCTCTTATAGTAAAGAAGATTGAACGTTTGTTCTTTCATTTTATAATTTAACAGTATTAATCGAAATTTTTTACTTTATTTTACATTTACATAATTCATATGAAATATGAAATATTTTGAAAATAATTTGCATTTGAAAAAATATTGCACTTCAAATAGGATTTCTTTTATCTTTATTATCACATTAGATTTTTTATACTTTTTCAAATTGAAAAAATAATTTCCAAAATTCACACGGCATATTAAAATTTGTAATGCAAATAAAATATATAATATGCTATGAACATTATGTATTGTTTATAATATACATAGGTATATAGGAACAATTTAAAATAGGAAATATTATGTAATTAACAAAAAATAGTTTCCTTATGAAATGGGAGTATATTCCATTTCTTCCATTTTCCCTTCTTTTTGCTAACTTTCTTTAAAAAAAACACTTAAAAGTTCTTGTTAAATTTTAAATTAAGAAAAAAATAAAAACTTATTATTAAAACAAAAAACAAAAATTTATTAATGATTTTTTTTTAAATAAAAAATAATAAAACATAATAATAAAAATAATAATATTAATAAATTTAAAACTATATTATTCAACACTATATATACGAACTTTTCTAAAAACAAAAAATATCAAGCTAATCAGTCACACGTTTAAAGTTAACATACAAATTTGTATAAAAATATATTTTAGGCAATAGATGCATTTAAAATATTTTTCTTTCTTTTCAATATTCTTCTGCTTAACATATTTTCAATTTTATGATATTAATGATAATAATTAATCATATATAATTTTTGTAATATTTATTCAGAATTGATTTTTAATTTCAAAGTTATTTCAAATATAAAAACAGTTAAGATTTTAATATATGTAAGATTTGCTCCAAATTATAGAAGCGAGCTCATTGACAATAGCAAAAAAAAAACAATAAATAATATAGCAATACCGAAAAATTTTAGGAAACCTTGTAATCTTTGTATTAAATTCGTCCGATTTAATTTATTAATTTATTTCTTTTTAATTAGATTGGTTTTTAAAAAGAGTATAGTAGTATATAAAATTTTAAATAAATAAAAATATTATTTTATGATTATGCTTTTATGATTAGAATTTTAAAAAATTCTTAAACTTTTTTATGAATAGGTAATGATTTGGGATTTGAAATGAAATTAAATTATTAAAATCGAAGAGTGATGCAATTTCATTTTTGTGATTAGTCATAATTTTTCATACAGAAAGGACGATGGATAGCTCATAAATCCTTTTATTTTGTGTGAAATTACTTTGAAACTTTAATAGATCTTTTAGAAATCAATTCTAATATTTTAATGTGCATGTTTTACTTTCTTTTTATATGTATGTATATGTTTAATTTATAAATTAATTTTAAAAATTTGCTTTAAATTTCTTTCACATATAAATTGCTTTTCTTCTCAATTTATCATGTAGTTTTCTAAAAAGTTTTGTTACATTCCTTTTTTTTATATATTTTTTCATTCTTTTTCTTTTTTTTTATGTTTTATCTTAAAACTGATTAATAATAAATTTATTAAAACTAAAATATATATTTGTGTGTAGATACACGATATACAACATAAATTTATGTAATTTTATGTGTGTTAAAATATTATTTCCTCATATCATCTTATTTAATTTTGTATACATGTTTGTTGTTCTCTTTTTTAGTTTTTTCAATAAAATGAAACACACCAAGCATCTGATGTCGGACTAATCAATGAAGATTGTATGTGATGTGGAGGTAATATATTTCTATTATTTATATTTGTTGCTGGCAAACATTGAAAACAATAATTTGCTCCATAATTATTATCCCAAAATTGTTGACCTTTACATTGAAAACGTACAGCAAATTCTAAACGTTGTCCAACTGATACATTATTTGCGTATAACGTAAATGTAAATTTATCTGAGAAACCATCACATGAATTTTGACAATATGTTGCTGGTATGTCAGAAAATGTACGCCAATTATCACATGTATAACGTATATGAACTGATTTGTGAAAGTCTAAATTACGTACACGTACGGAACCCATTATTGTTAAGTGAATTGGATCTGATATTAAAGCATTTTCTAAATTAACTTGTTTATCACGTACCATATCCAAAAATGATGGTATACAGCCAGGTGGTTGAAATAATGGCATTAATATTTTATCAGCTTTTGGGCCAAGTTGTACTGGTGGTTCAGTTTCGGCTATTTCTAAATCTTGATATGCTGATACTGGTATATTTGGTATTTCATCCATAAATGTTTTAACATCAGCCAAATCTAAACCTAATACATCAGCAAAACGAACAATTTTTTTGCGACCCGGTGTACCAGGTGGTGTTTTACCAGTTTTTAATGATGAACATCTTCTAACACGTTGTGGTCTACAATCATCATCATCATCTGTATCTTCTTTTGATGTTACATCTCTATTTAAATTTTGTTGTTGATTTGTATTATTTAAATCCCCATTTAATGCTTGTTCCAATATTTTTTGAGATTCATCATCTGTTGTTTTGGGTGTCGCTGGTTGTACGGCAACTAAAATTAATTAAAATATAAAAAAAATGCATATTTTAAGTTGTTACAAATATTTTTAGTTAAGTTTTAAAAACAAGAAAAAGTCAAATGAATAACTAAACGTGCGACATATTTTGTAAGAATAAATGTAAAAGAAAAAAATAAGAATGTCAATTAACCAAATTTTAAAGATATCATTAAAAAGAAATTCAAAATCTTATGTTTTTATACAAAATATATATATTTCTCTTTAATTTAATTTTTTTTTTTTAAATTCACTTTGAATATTTTAACGAATATTTCTTTTTTATTGCTTTAAAACTGGTTGACTACAGAAAATTTATTTTAATTTTAACTTGAAAATGCAAAATACCTCTGAAATACAATTTTATCGTCATATTTTTTCTATTTTTTGAATTGTTAGAACAATTATTAATTTTATTTTAAAATAAAATTAATAAGAAATAATGTTTTTAACAGCACAATTAGTCTATTTTATATTTTTTTGTTTCTTCTTTTATATTTAAAATCTCAGTATTAATCAAGTATAAAAATTTTAAGGTACAAATGAACTAAATGAAAAAAAAATTTTCTTTTTTTTTTAAATTAACGTGAACAAGAGCTAAAAATTTATTCGAACCGTATCACTTGAGATTTGAATGAATACTGTTCATAATTCAACCTTTAAATAAAATAGTCAGGCCGAATCAGAATGATATGATTACTGGTTTGATGTTTATATGTGCTACTCTGCCTGATAGCAACTGATCTGTATTTTGGAAAGGTTAATTGTGTGTTTAAATTTTTTTTATTTTATATTTGGTTTTATTTCTTGTTATTGTTTTTATTATTATTTATATTTTATTTTCATTTATTTTCTTTTGGTTCGGTATGTTTTACTTTAGTGTTAGTTTAACTTGCGAATATTAAAAGAAAATTTATGCATGGGCATGTTATTATGTGTGTACATATGTATCAATAAATTGAGTGAGTATATGATATGTACTAAGTACATAATTATTATTATGCGAAGAGGATAGATGGAAAAATATGTTAATAAAAAAAATTTATAAGAGAAGAAAAAACATTCAATAAATTTTAATTTTTTAAAAGTTTCCCGATATTATGTATGATAGACCTTTTTCGTTAAAATTTCGATAAAATTATCATGAATGAAGTCTGATTAAGATGCCTACATTACAGTTATCTTTCAAAATGAAATTAGTAACGATTGTAATGTTAATGTGAAAACAATCTCATCTTAAGTTGGTAGAAAATTTCATAGCCTGACAAACTAATTTGAGATATCCACAAATTATGTTGTAGCAGAAGATTTTTAAGATATAAAAGTATAATAAAATTTCACTATCTTATGTAAATATTTATTTTTCTGAAAATTTGACATGATGACTCACTATGTGTGGGTAACTTCTTAATTCTAAATGATAAGAATATGATAACTGGTCAAATATTGATTAGTTTGTCGTATTATGTTTTTCTTACGAAATTTTGTTTTTTTAATTAGGCATATAAACCAAAGGTAAATTTTCTAAATTTCTTTTAATGATTATTTCTGCCTTTTACTTTCAATTGCAGGTAGAATATGGTCTACATTTTCTGAATTCAAAGCTACATATATATATGTATAAAATTATTTCTTCAAATATTTATAGATTCAAAATGCAAACAAAAAAAATCCTTGGAGATTAAAAAAAAAACAATTTTGACGTAATTTTAAAGTACTTTGTAAATTTTTGAATATAATAAAGATAAGATTAAAGAAAAGGTTTTGGTGTCTAGTCGCCGATAAATTATATATCATATAGCAGTATGCGTGCGGCAAGATAACAAATCAGGTATATATAATGGTTACTCGTTAAATATAGTATGGTGTTGTTGATAGTTAATTTTTTCTTATTTTATAAATATTTTTGGCTTACAGTAAATTTGAATTATTGTTATTGGCTCTAATATGGCATAAAAGTTTAATTCATAATCTCATTTAATTCTTTTTATTTTAACATCTTTCCTTTTTTAATATAGCATAAAAAACACATCATTGTCACCACTAACGATTTTAAAAAATAAGCAATTTTGTATGAAATTTTAAAGACTTTCATGGTATCTGTGATAGCTGCCCAAGATTATCAGAAAATACTCGTATAATATTGAATATATAATAAGAAAGTAAAAAGAAATTCCTGATTAGATAAAAGAAGTTTAGATATGAAATTTAGATTTACAAATAAAAAATTGTTTAAATTGAAATACAATAAATAATTATTGTTAGTTGTGATTAGTTAATTTTCCTTTTCTTAAATAATATGATAGTTATCGCATTTTAAAACATGCTAACTGATATATAGTCAGAATTATTATTTACTTGTTAAATTTAAAATATTGTGTCCATTTTTCAAACATTTTGTTTCTTCTTTATTATTTTCATCACAATGACCATTTATTGAGTTTAAATCATTTTCTTCGGATAATTTTTGTAATTCGTTCAGTACTTTATCTTGACATATTGTATTATTGTCAGATTTTATTGATAATATGCTGCTTTTATTAATTTCTTGTGAAGATTTTACGGAATCTATATACCCAACAAAAATAAAAAAAGTTATGATAATAACATAATAATTCCATACAAGTATTGCTATATCAATTTATAAAACAATAGGCATAATTACCATTATTATATTCTTCTTCATCATTATGATATCCATTATTTGATTGATGTATTAAATTTTCTGGACTATTATTATTAATATTTAAATCATTATTATTAAATTCAACTTCTTTTTTAATAATATCATTATGATCTTCATGATTATTTTGATTATTTATTTTCTCATTTTTATCATTAAATTTATCATCATCTATTTTTTGATTAACATATTGGAAGTCAACTTCATCTGTATCATTTATTTCATATGCACAATGTCCATTCATTATCATTATTTTACTTTCAGCACTCATATTTGCTGTTATTAATATTTTATCATTAACATCTACAGGTGAAGTTGTATGTATACTATTATTATTATTATATAATATTTGACCATTTATATGTTGTTGTTTTTGTTGTTGCAGCTGTTGTTGTTGTTGTGGTTTAATATTCGTATCAGTTAATTGTTCACCATCTGAACTAATTGGATCAAAATATGGTCCATCGGAACTTTGACTACTTGCTCGACTACCAGTTGTAACTGGTGATGAACATATATAACCAGACTCTGTAGCACAATCGTGTGGTGTATTTGATGTTGTTTCAATTAAACGTGAATATTCACATTCATCAGCAGGACTACCAGGACTTTCAATTTCACAATCAAAATCAAAAAATGAATCGGCAGCTTCTTGACTAGTTGTATGGCGTAGTGGTTGCAGTGCTGTTACAACTTGATTACTTTGATCGACATGTGTTATCCATGTATTCGGGCCAGTACCATTTAATATTGGGTCATCATTATGTATTTCTGAATCACCATTCTGCAAAATATATTTTTAACTGTTAATTAAATATAAGCACATAAAGTATATGTCAGTAAGGTCCAATAGAAATTTGTTAATAATTAATTTAATTTTTGTTATTAGATACTAAAGTTCTCAAATTAATTCTAAAAGATAAAAAATTCGAAATTTTTAAACTATAATTATATTGCAATCTAAATCACGAAGTTTGATATTTTCAAATAAAAATATTTTAATCATAATGTTACGATTGACGATCGTGGTGGAGACTGCTGTATTAGATAATATTTGTTAATTTAAATATTATTATATTGCCTGCATACAGCAGGTATGGTCTGCTAGTAATGAGTTATTAATAAATGTTGGTTTGTTCAATTCAATTTTAATAAATAGTTCAAAGAACCCTTTTTATAATTCACAATAGTAATTAATTTATAATGTTGTTTGATTTAATTAAAAATGGAAACGTGTACATATACGTATGTATGTACATATAAGTAATTACAATTAAATGAAATATTTTATAAAAATTTATTTTTAAAAATTACCTGTGAGTTGCCAAGAGTTCTTAATTTAGAAGATAAATGACGGGCAAATGCCTCGGCTCTCCCTCTGCAAGACATACCGAGGGATGGTAATAATGAAAATCCGCAGGGTCGCTCGGTAGCTGTACAATTTGAAATTGGTATATCACCCGGTCCGTTCATTTATAATAATATAAATTTTATTAAAAAATCTGGAAAGAAAAGAAGGGAAATAAAGGAATAATTAATATCAATTATCATTGACGTCATTATGTAGATTTATTGTTATAATTAGCATTATTTAAAAGAAAAACTATGTAATACAACTATTTAATAAGCAAACAGATTAAAACACATACGCACAAACTATAGATATTTTTAAAAAAATTTATGAAAACAAAAATCAGAAAAATTATATTTTTGGTAATAAATAATTTTTTTTGTACTCTAGATATTTACAATTTTACATTCACTTGAAAATTATCAGTAGTATTCGTACATCTCAAGAACAGAGAAATCAGATGATTTCAGAGAATAGACTAGAATACAAAAATCACAAAAATTCTTATTTATAGAAGGAGAAATGCAGTTATTTATTTATTTTTGCCAGATTTTGTATTTGTTTTTTATGTTATGTATTTATTTAAAAAAGAATTTAAATATAAATTTTACATTTAATGTCTATGGACAATCATTATTGTGACGAGTAAAATCATTTAAGAAAATTTATTTTGATCGTAAAGCACAATATGGGAATTATTATTGGTGTGTATGTGCATATGTACACATATTCACATTAATATGTACATATATGTATATTATGTACATATGTAGAATGTTCTTGAATAATTTAAATCAATTTTTAATTTAAATTATTAATATATATATGTATGTATATGTAGCTAAAAAAAATGTTTAAATTCAGGCAATATTTTTGTACAATTCGTCGCTTACATTTGGAAAATATTGAGAATTAGAAAATTAACATTATGTACAAGCAGAGTAATAATAAAACAAATGAACTATAATTAAAAGTCGCTGAACTCTTTTATCTACAAATTTTTACTAACTTATCTTTGTACGTGTTTCAGAAATTTAGAAATCTGTTTTTATTATAAATGCAAAAATTGATTAAAATAGAATAACTATACAAAATCTGAATCAATTAAATTAATAATAATAATTACTACAAATATATAGTGTCAGGTGTATTTTTGCGCATTTTAACTTCCCATGTAAAACGCCTTGCATGTTTGTATGTACATAATGTATGTTACTTAATCATTATAATCCTATTGATACGGTAATTGAAATAGCAACCGATTTAATTTAATTGTCAACCCCACTGGGCTTTTAAATAAAAATTAAAAAATTATTGATAACGTAATAATAATAATAAAATGTTGATTATAATCGTAATCGTATAAGAAAGTTGATTATTTAATAATTAATAAACTTTACAAAATTAAAATTACTACATATTTAATTTTGTCATTTCTCAAATATGGATATTTTAGGGGAGAAATTTTTAATGTTCGTTTATATTGTAGTTATTCAAAATTTATGAATTTCGTTCTAGAATTTAAAAACTCAAATAACGTCTCAATTTTTTAATAATTTAGAAATTAAGGCTTTTTAAAAAAAAATTTCTTTTTAAAGCATTAGCAATTTCATTTTTCCTTATGAAATTTTTGCAAGTTATAATGGAAATTTTCACTTTTCTAATTTATAATTTGTACACATTATAAAGTACATATGTACATATTAATGTATATACTATTATGTATTGTTATATTGATATGTGCCATACCAATTTATATACATACATGTGAAAATGTATCAATGTGATGTTTTGTTAGAGAGAATTTTAACGAAATAATTTTAGATATAATTAAATTGCGAGCGCAGAAGACGGAGGCTTCTTAAATTTTAAATAAAATTTTTTCAAAAAAGCCAAAATACTATAAAAAGTTCTTGTTGGAAAAGAATTTTCGTTTTTTTTTGTTTCTATGGAAAATATTTTTTTTTGTACATCGTTTATTGCAGCTGTTTTGATTTCAGAAATAGATTTATGAAAAAATATAAAAAATAATGTACATAGATGATAGATGTACCGACGCAACAAGTAATAAAAGAAAAAAATTGTAGAATACGCCGACTTTTAGGGTCCCTCCAATTTTTTATTTAAAAATTTTTTTATTTTTTTATCAAAACAATTTCAAATTACATAAACTCCTTAAAGTTTCGTTACAAAATATATTTAAAACATAATGCAATAAAATTCGATATTTGCTCCTTAAATTTTAAATAACAGAAACACTTTTCTTTTTCATTGTTGAATTTTACTAAAAAAATGTCTTTTTTGTCATTGATTTTCAAAATAAGTCTCCTACTTGTTTCTTTGGTAGCAGAGGCAAATACAATATCAATCCTTAACAGGTTTGATTAACGTTGAAATAAAATTTAATTATGCACTTTGAATTATTGTCGACAAATGTGTTAAATGTCGTGAAAAAATTATCAAAGTATTCGGTTTAATAAGGAATTATTTGTCATGAACCGATTCCATCTTGAATTTTACATTTTAAAGATTTAAAAATTTGAAAGCTTGACATGACGTAATGTACAATATTAATTTTTTGTAGAATTCGAAAAATTGCTCAAAAATTCCTTTTTTGCGCACACGTTATCAATGTAATAAAATTTGCCAAAACTTTTACTTTTACGATACTGCACACCATATTTAAATTATGCAAATTATGCTAAAATATGGAATTTTTTTTATCCATTTTCGTCGTTAAAAGTTAGTACCACAAAGAAATACTTTCATAAATAAAAAATTTTTGTCATTTTTTACTATTCTAATTCATTAAATTTCTAAATTCATTTCAGTGTACCATTGAATATAATTTTTATGTTTTCACTTTCCATTTTAATTTTTTCATATTAAAATTTAACGAGTGTAGAAAACTAATTTGACAGAAAGTCAAAGCTTTTGAGGCAAAACATAATTTATTAATTAAAAATAGAAAGCGGCATATGCCTTATAAAACATTTACTATTAGAACAATTAATATCAGAACAAATTCTTTTTGTTAATGTACATGCAACTGCAACAATATAGAAGAGCTGCTCTTATACGACTATGTGATTGCGATTTTAAATACACACATACTTAAGTTAATTATGAATATGTATGTTATTACTAATCAGAAAATTAAAAAAAAATATAAAACCAAAATAAAACAAAAGTAAAATAAGAATAAAATAAACTTAAGATAAAAATTTTGAGATTTTATAAATAATTTTTTTTTTTAAATCACATGTTTTTCGGCAAGCCAAATAAAATAAAGAATAAGAAAAACAAAAAAAAAAGTATATAAAAACACCCCCGTTTCAGTTTTAAAAAAATCTTATTTAATTTTATTTTCTTTGAAACACAAAAGAAAACAAATGTTTTTGTTTTTATTTTTATATTACAGGATGAGTCCGATTAAGTGAGTACAATAATTCCATCATATACTCTTTCTATAATAAATATTTTTAAGTACTCAAGGCGACACAAAAAAAAAAACGGTTCTTCATTAAAAATCGTGTAGTGTGCGTGCATTGTTTTTTGTTTTTTTTTAATAGTATCATTTAATTTTAAGGTGATTGAACTTTTTGAACTGTTTAACATATTTTAAATGAATTTTGTCATTGAAATCAAAAACTTATTAAAAAATTTTTCTTGTTGGCAATGTAAAGCAATGTGCATACATATATAAAATGGGAAATTGTAATAGAATTTTTAATACCACTACAATTACAAAAATGTCCATTACAAATTAAAATATGAGATTAAATATAAAACATATATTAGTATGCATTATACTATACTATGCTATGGAATTTTCACATATGATATAGAACAATATTATTCTGACCAAATGTAGGTAAATGTCTAACCTATAAGTAGGCAAAATTCCTATTTATAAAACTCAAATTTAGTAAAAACACTGTTGCTTCAGTAACAATTACTTTAAAAATACAAATATGTTTATTCGGCGATAAGTAAGTATCTACATAATATACAATAATATACCTGTTGAAATATTCTAGGTATTTCAATTTACAAAATTTTACAAAAAACAAATAAAAAAAAATTTCAAGATCATTGAAAAATAAACAGATGTTTCCATTTATACCATATGTTTTTAAAAAAAAATTTAAAAATTTCCTTTCCATTGAAGTAAGTTTTAATGTAAGAAATACACCCTGTTTTCAATGTACATAATATACATTTTAAATAGTCTTTTAATTATATTGTATGTATATACGAATACAGGAGACTCGGAATACAGTGAATATAATATAACGCGAACAGCAAACAAATTCACAATATCATATTATTCATTTGAGGCATTTTCTCTCCTATTTATAGTATAAGGTAAGTTTTCGGAAAGTTTAACCAAAATTTCTATAGCATTTGCAATCATTTAAGTAATTAAAATATGTTTGAATTATACATACACATATATATATATAGAATTTTTACATTAAACATCTACTTAAATATTAAAAATTTTCTTCTCCTATTAAGGAACATTTTTCTTTTATGCTCTTCTTCTAATTTATAATATATTTGCAGTAGTTATAAAAATAAAAACTTTCCTTCAGAATTCCTTCAGAATTTTAAACAAAACTATCATTTTCAAGCATTCTACTTTTGCAGATTTTGCAGTTTGAATTTATCGAACGTAGTTAAAATTGATTGAATCATCGAAAATCGCACCGTATCTTGCTTGATTAATTTTTCAAATCTGGTACAATGTAGTGGCATCACGTGAATATTAACGTGCTTTAAGTTTTAATACAAAATTGAGTGTAGTGAAATATGTGCATATATGTACGTAATATATGTAATAAAAAAATTCTTCTGAAATTTTCGGCACTTCATCTTGAATGCAAAATTTTCAAAAAAATTAATCTGACTGTAGAAACTTCTGACTTTGGAAACAGAAAATAAAAAACAAATTTTGTTTATTCATATACATACATACATTACATACAATTTTCTAATAAGATATTTTTAAAATTAAAACTTTTATTTTATATTTTCATTATATAAAAATAAAAATAAGAAAAATAAGAGAGAAGAAATTTTTTATTTTTACGCTCTACTCTTACATTAAAGATTTTTTTATTCAATTGAATATAAAAAGTAATTTTA